AGTGAGAAGGAAAAAAAAACGGAAAAGACGAAAAATGTTGCTCAGTTATGATAAATCATGATATATATATTTTTTTTATTTCCCCTCGAAGTCGGAAGAAAAACGCGAAGAGACTGAAAATATTGTAAGATTTGTAAAAGATAAGTTGCAAGATGATGAAAAAGCTAATGCAATATAATTACGGAAGATGACATTAAGAAGTCGTTTCAGAACATCTCAATCTCATCTTTTGTTATGCCACATGACAAATCCTCTCTCTGACAGAAAGAACAAACAAATAAACACAAAATTAACAGGTAAAGAGATATACAGACGTTAATATATATTTTTCCGTGACTCAGCAATAACACAGGTAAAATTTAAAGAAATAATAATGTAAAAACTCAATGTCTCCTTTAATAAGAAAATTGATTAATCTCAGACTTTATTTAATCGTGACGAAAAGATAAATAAATTCAAGTTCTTGAGGTTTCGCAAAAATAGAAATTGTCTTATCGGAGAAAATTCCTTATATTTGTTACGTTTTACAAGTTTCTTGGGGAAGTGAGGTTAAAGTTTGTTCTTTTCTTATTATTATCATTACTATTTTTATTATTATTATTCTTATCATTATTATTCTTGTTATTATCATTATTTTGCTCTGTATTAAGGACAATTTTGATTCTGTGATTTTATGTAGGTGCTAATTTTTTGTACGAGGTTGTTTTTAATGTAGATTGTAGATATTAAATTTTAAAAGAAAAAAAAAAAAATCCCAGAAAAGGCGAATGTATTCACAATTTTATCAAAGTCGAAGTGGCATTTAATTATTAGATTTTTGTATTTGTTTTCTTATCATATTGTCACCAAAGAACACCATGCACTGTGACTGAAGAGCAAGACTCGTTATATCGGCCGTCATGCATTTTCTTTTTTCTTTTTTTTAGGTCATATCGGTTCGGCCGTGTGCATGAAACCGGGTTTAAAAAGGTCAGAACGGGGGGAGGGGGGAGGAGGCACGGAAGACCGGAGGCAGGGGGTGTGGAGGATTGTTGGGGGGAGGGGTGGGGGGGTGAAGATAGCGGGTTAATAGAAAGGAGGAGGATGAGGAGGAGGGGAGGGGGGGGGGGAGAGGAATGGAGGCTACCTCAAAGGAGGGCGATTTTAATGGTCATGCAAAGAGGGGTAAAAGGAGGGGGGGGAGGGGGGGAGGGGGGGAGCGAAGAGGGAGGTAAGAGATAAGTGAGGATTAGGAGAAGGAGGAGGAGGAGGAAAAAGAAGAGGAGGAGGGAGAGGTGGAGGAGGAGGAAGAAGAAGAGGAGGAGGAGGAAGAGGAAGAGGAGGAGGAAGAAGAAGAAGAGGAGGAGGAGGAAGAGGAAGAGGAGGAGGAGGAAGAAGAAGAGGAGGAGGAGGAAGAAGAGGAGGAAGAGGAGGAGGAAGAAGAAGAAGAAGAGGAGGAGGGAGAGGGAGAGGTGGAGGAGGAAGAGGAAAAAGAGGAAGAGGAGGAGGAAGAAGAAGAAGAAGAGGAGGAGGGAGAGGGAGAGGTGGGGGGAAAGGGGGAAAGGGGGAGAGGAGCACTTAGAGCAGGTAAACCCCTTCTCTAAATCGGCGTTCTGTGGTTTTCTGTTATGATCACACTCTGTTCCTTTTATTGCTTTCTAAAAGAGGTGGAGGAGGTCGAGGGCGGGTAATGGGCTTCAGGGAGAGAGGAAGTTCGAAGCTAAGCTGCCAAAGATAAAAGACTTTTCGAGATAACCGTGAAAGGGGTGACCTTTGTTTCACCTCCCGCTCTCTCTCTCTCTCTCGCTCTCCGGTTCTCTCTCTGTCTCTGTCTCTCTTGGTCTCTCTCTCTTTCTCTCTCTCTCTCTCTCTCTCTTTCTCTCTCTCGCTCTCTGGTTCTCTCTCTCTCTCTGTCTCTCTTGGTTTCTTTCTCTCTCTCTCTCTCTCTCTCTCTTTCTCTCTCTCGCTCTCTGGTTCTCTCTCTGTCTCTCTTGGTTTCTTTCTCTCTCTCTCGCTCTCTGGTTCTCTCTCTGTCTCTCTTGGTTTCTTTTTCTCTCTCTCTCTCTTCCTCTTTCTCTCTCTCGCTCTCTGGTTCTCTCTCTCTGTCTCTCTTCGTCTCCCTTGGTTTCTTTCTCTATTTATCTCTCTCTTTCTCTCTCTCTATATATCTATCTACCTATCTTTCTCCTCTCCATCTCTCTCTCCCTCTTCCTCTCCCAATCTTTCTCTCTCCCGCACTTTAAGAAAAGGAATATAGCAAAATACGTATGACGTTATATATGAATCGGTCATGCAGAGTTCCTGCTTGCAACTTTCGCGGATATGATCTTACCGCAAGTTCAGACTGCTTGGGCCCATTAGGTGTTTTCGTGCTTGCTTGGTCGGTTATAATGTGTGTTTGCTTTCTCTGATTAACATTTATGATTCATTCGTGTTTGAGGGTATTAGCCTTAAGTCTGTTTCTATTGCATGTTTTTTTTTTTCTCTCTATTTTCTTTTACTAACTATACATGCATTTTGT